TGTGTATGTGTGTGTGTGTGTGTGTGCGCGCGCGCGTGTGTATGTGTGTGTGTACATGCACACGTGCATGCATGTGCGCGCTTGCCCTGTTCTGGGCTTGAACTAGGGCCTAGATTCTCTCTGTCTTTGAGTTTCTTTTTCTCACATGAGCTATAGCAATTTGGGTAGTTGTTTGAAGATAAGTCTCACAAACTTTCCTGCCAGGGCTGGCTTTGAACTGTGATCCTCAGAGCTTAGCCTCATGAGTACCTACAATCCTGATACTCAGCAGTTGGCTTGAAAATTCTTTAAGTTGCTTGTTCATAAGATTCATCAAGCATGACTTTATAAATATTACATTATGCATGAATTTTTAGTTAAGAATTCTTAAGTTAAACTAGTGCATCTAAATCTCACAAGGGGAAAGGGGACTTCTGGCCATTTGAGCTATTTTTGCATGTAAAATTTTTTACCAAATTCCTACATAATACATGGGAGATGAATGTAGTATCCCACTGTTTCCCTATGCCTATGGTGTTTACTTCTAATGGCATAGTAGTTTTCAATCAAGCATTTGTTTTTGGATTTTTTTGTTTGTTTGTTTTGCTGGTTGTGGGGCTAGAACTCTGGGCCTGGGCCCTGTCCCTGATCTCTTCAGCTCAAAGCTAGCACTCAACCACTTGAGCCACTGTGCCACTTCCAGTTTTCTGGCAGTTTATTGGAGATAAGAGTCTCAGGGACTTTCCTGCCTGGGCTGGCTTTGAATCTCGATCTTCAGATCTCAGCCTCCTGAGTAGCTAGGATACAGGTGTGAGCCATCAGTGCCCAGCAAGAATTTGTTTTAAATCAGGAATTGTTAGCTCTTTATTTTCCTTTCATTAAGGTAAACCTGCTGATGAATTTTTGCACATATAATCTTATCAGATCTATATAGGGAACATTTCCTGCACCCTAGACAGCACCCTATGCTAGTCCCACCCTAAAGGGTCTAGTAAGGTCCACTTCTTGGTAAAGTCTCTGGCCAGTACCTGCATCACCTAGGTGACTGGCACACCTGGAGGCAGTCACCTCCCCCTTCCCCCAAATCACATTGCATCTAGTATGGCCACACCTTCTTCCCAGCCACTGGCCTTGATAAGTCTTGGTCCTAGTGTGGTTCAACCCTTTTTGTCTCGGCTGTGTGGGCTTCCAACTTGACCTAAGGCAGCCTTCAGCTCAAAAAAGAAACCTTTCCCCTGCCTGAATACCACGTGCTGCTCCCTCTTTCGTCAGCTGCTGATTTAATTTACCTAAGAGTTGACATAATGATGCAATCTGCCACAAAGAAGCAGAACACATTCAGAACAGGAGTAAATATTTCAGTAATTCATGGGTAGAGAAAGAACCTAGTAAAGGAATTGGATTTACTTTATTTTTAAAAACATGACCTACAGTTAGAGAGACACACACACAGAGAGACAGAAAGACAGAGAGAGACAGAACCAGTGCATTATGCATGCTTGGCAAGCACACTAAGCCCCATTCCCAGCCCCTCCCTGATCTCTTTTGCTCCGTTAGCACTCTTACACCTTGAGCTACAGTTCCACTTTTGGTTTTTGAGTAGTTAATTGGAGGTAAGAATCTCACAAGGACTTTTCTGCCCCAGCTGGCTTTGAACTGTTGATCCTCAGATCTTAGCCTCCTGAGTAGCTCGGATTACAGGCATGAGCCACCAGCCCAGTTCTTTCTTCATATCACCTGTCTACACATATAAATAGGATCTATATACATGACTTCCTCTGATGGTTGTCGAGGAAAACTTTTTCTCTTAATACCTTATTGAACTGTTTCAATTCATTCCCATGAATACTCCAGAAAATCATATAAGAGATATTGATATATATAGTCAGTAGTGGGGCTTGAACTCTGGGCCTGGGCACTGTCTCTCAGCTCTTCAGCTCAAGGCTAGCACTCTATCACTTGAGCCATAATGCTAATTCTGGTTTTCTGGTGTTTTATTGGAGATAAGAGTCTCACAAACTTTCCTGCCTGGGCTGGCTTTGAACAGGGATCTTTAGATCTCAGCCTCCTAAGTAAGTAGGATTATAGGCGTGAGCCACTGGGGCCTGGAATTTTTTTTTTCTTTTCCAAATGTACACTTTCTATTTGGCCTTACTGGGATCAGGTAAGGATCTAAGGAAAACTTTGTCTTGCAGCAGCGGGCATATGTGCCAAGTTGGAAGAAAAAAAAAGAAAGAAGCCAGATACCCACTCCCTATATCTAAATATTTGAAGATTATAAATCAAGCTAACCAACTGTTACATTAAAAATATTTTATCCTCCTACATGACACACCTAACTTATAGCAAACATACATGAAACCACCTAGACGATCAGGTTCACATTTAGAATGTTCAAGAATCACAACTCCCTATTATACTTTAGCCATCCTTCTCAGAGCTTCATGCCAATAGCAAATACTTGAAAAGATTTGTTTGTTTGTTTGTTTTGTGCTGATCCTAGGGCTTAAACTCAGGCCTTGGGCACTCTCCCTAAGTTTTTCACTCAACCACTTGAGCTACAATTCCACTTCCAGCTTTTTTTGGTGCTTAATTGGGAGATGAGAGTCTCACACACTTTCCTGCACCGGCTGGCTTTGAACTGAGATCCTTAGGACTCAGACTCCTAAGTAGCTAGGACTACAGGCAAGAGCCACTGGTGTCCAAGAAAAGATCATGTTTAACTGATTCTTGAATAAACATTTTCACCCAGGCCTCGGCATTGCTTAATAATTTAATGTTTCTCCTAGACTTAAGATTCAATGAGTACCTTATTTCTTGGCTAACTGTAACATAAACAAATATCTCCCTCAAAGAAAATTCAAATTGTTTAGTAAATGTTATTGAAAGGGTAATTAGACTTTGCCAGAGAACCACACAGACATTCAGGTATAGAGAACAAAGAAAGGTTTATTGCCAGGAAAGGGGCTGGCAAGACCCCTTCTCATAAGCGAGAAGCGAGAAGCGGCTATTGTCTAAGGTTTAGGAGGGGCTAGAAGGGGCTAGGAGGCAGAGATCCTGGTGTGGACGTGTGGACTAGGGACTTCATCATGGTGGACTAGGATTTATGGCTGCTGTCCAAATAGTAGATAAGGGGCCCTGCAGCTGCCCAGACCTGAAGATCACTCTAAGGGGCTCCTGTTGCCTTATAAGGTGGTAGCTGCTCCACAGAAGTGCCATCCCAAGGTAAAGGGGGTTGGAGGCTGATTATTTACTGCCTTACTAAATGGCCTAGTGTTGCCTAGGAAGGGAGCATGCTAACCAATGGAGAGGGGAAGGAGTGTACTAAGCTATGGGAAGGGAGTTTATTTCGCTAACAGTTACCCACTATGCCTCCCCCTTACCCTACCCTACCTTACTTGGATGCTGCTGGGGATGGAGTCCAGGCTTGGTAAACTTCTACCACTAAGCTCCAGCCTTAGCCCTAAATAGTCCACAATTTCTATCTCCACTTCCATTCCAACTTTTCTGTCTGGGCTGGCTTTGAACTGTAATGCTCAGATCTCAGCCTCCTGAGTAGCTAGGATGACAGGCATGAGCACAGATGCCAGGCTCTGTCAGACTTTTGATAGCAATACTATCCGTGGATATTCTAAGCAAGGCATCTAAATATTCGGATACATATTTTAAAAGGGCTGAGTCTTGGGGCTGGGAAGGTGGCTCAGTGGTACAGTGCTTGCCTTGCATGCATGAGGCCCTGGGTTCAATTCCTCAGCACCACATAAGCAGAAAAAGCCCGAAGTGGCGCTGTGGCTCAAGTGGTAGAGTGCTAGCCTTGAGCTGAAGAGCAGAGGGACAGCGCCCAGGCTCCCCTATGACCGACAAAAAAAAAAAGGGCTGAGTCTGAACATTAGACTACTACCTAGAGATACCTATGACCTACAGACAACTTTAGCAACTGGTCTAACTGGAATAACTCAGGATGGAAATCAAGAAAACAAAACTTGAGAGTCTAGCTTTGTCACAAACAGGCTGAGCTGGAGTGAGTCACTCAAAACTACTGAGTCTTGGAGTCATTATCTATAAAACTAGAATAAGGATGTTGTCTCAAGTTTTAAAAAAATCACAACTTGTCTGTTGTTAAGACACCTCTGCCTTTGACCACCTCAAGGGGCTTTGGGACAAAGGGAAGAAGGCACAACCTCTCTGAACTTGGGTTTCCACACGTTAAGAAAGCTAAAAATACACAGCAAACTGACCAATAAAATTCTAGGAAGAACGGAGGAAAATGTGCAAGGAAACTGCAAAATGCAGAGTTACATAAATATGAATTGTCTTAAACTACAGGCCTCCCTCGGCCCCTGACCCCCCCCACCACAAACCCATCTTTCCCCTCCGCACATCATCTTTCTAATAACAATAAAAATAAATAAATGAAAATTAAACTCATCTTTTCCTGACTCCGGTATCCCAACCCCATATAAAGTAAAATCACTTAAAAAACAAACAACTTTGCGGGTCGTGGGGCCTGAACTCTGGGCCTGGGCGCTGTCCCTCAGCTCTTCAGCTCAAGGCTAGCGCTCTACCACCTGAGCCACAGCATCACCTCTGGTTTTCTGGTGGTTAAATGGAGATAAGTGTCGCACGGACTTTCCTGCCCAGACTGGCTTTGAACCTCGATCTTCAGATCTCAGCCTCCTGAGTAGCTAGGATTATAGGCGTGAGCCAGCGGAGCCGGCCTAGGTCTCCTTTTTAAAAGCCTTCTGTGACCCAGAGGCTCGCCCTGGCTTGCTGGTCCTTCACTGATAGGGCTCCCGGGACCTCCCAGGGGGCGTGGCCAAGACGCCCCGCCCCTGGCTCCTCTCTGTTTTTAGCGACGCCCCGCCCCTTCCATCTGGCGCCTGCGCGGTGCGCACGACCGGCCTAGCGAGCCCCGGCGGGAGGTAAGGGGGTCCCCCGGAGGACGTCTCGCGGGGGCTTCTGGTCTTGACCCGCAGGGTGGGCCGGGCCTACCCGCGCGCGGGGGAGGAGAGGAGCCGCGCGGGAAGCGGGGCAGCGGATCGGAAGTGTGGACGGCCCGGGGCCCCTCCCGTTTCGGTGTAGGAGAGCTGGTACCTGCTCGCGGGGAGGCCGCCGACCCGGGAAGCTGGATGGCCTCCCTTGCTGCAGGGCTGAAAAAGTTTCCGGGCCTGCCGGGCCCCGGGATGCCCGGAGCGCCCTGGGGTTGTCAGGGTCGCCAGCCTCGGCCGGGGGCTCGGGCGAGCAGGGCGCGCCCAGCCGTCTGCTGGTGGTGGGCGTCGGGCGTGCGTGGCCCTGGTACGGGGGGCGGGGGGGGGGGGAACCCCGGGAGGATGACGCCATGTGCGGGACGGGACGGGAAGCGGGCCGGGGTGTCCTGTCAGCCGGACTGGGGGTGTGGGGGCCCCCGGGGTGTCCTGTCAGCCGGACTGGGGGTGTGGGGGCCCCCGGGGTGTCCTGTCAGCCGGACTGGGGGTGTGGGGGCCCCCGGGGTGTCCTGTCAGCCGAACTGGGGGTGTGGGGGCCCCCGGGGGGTCCTGTCAGCCGGACTGGGGGTGTGGGGGCCCCCGGGATGTCAGCCAGACTGGGGATGTGGGGGCCCCCGGGGTGTCAGCCGGACTGGGGATGTGGGGGCCCCCGGGGTGTCCTGTCTGCCGGACTGGGGGTGTGGGGGACCCCGGAGTGTCAGCCAGACTGGGGGTGTGGGGACCCCGGGGTGTCCTGTCAGCCGGACTAGGGGTGTGGGGGACCCCTGAGTGTCAGCCAGACTGGGGGTGTGGGGGACCCCGGGGTGTCCTGTCAGCCAGACTGGGGGTGTGGGGGCCCCCGGGGTGTCCTGTCTGCCGGACTGGGGGTGTGGGGGACCCCGGAGTGTCAGCCAGACTGGGGGTGTGGGGACCCCGGGGTGTCCTGTCAGCCGGACTAGGGGTGTGGGGGACCCCTGAGTGTCAGCCAGACTGGGGGTGTGGGGGACCCCGGGGTGTCCTGTCAGCCAGACTGGGGGTGTGGGGATACCCTGGGGTGTCCTGTCAGCCAGACTGGGGGTGTGTTTGGGACCCCGGAGTGTCCTGTCATCCGGACTGGGAGTGGGGGGGCCCCCCGGGGTGTCCTGTCAGCCAGCCAGACCTGGAGGTGGTCTGTGGAAGCCGCCTCTCCTGGCTGCCTCCTCGGGTTTCCGGACGCAGCGTGGGGACAGACCCCGTGTGGACTGAGGGTCCGGGCGGCACTCGAATCTCCCTAGGCCCTAGGTGGTTAGGACTTTTGGAGTTTGCCAGCTGTTTTCTGGGACGTGGGGCTTTGAGTCATTTGCTTAAGCTCTGAGTCCCCTCCGGGAGCAGGAGGGTTAGGTTACCATCTCGATGAGTTGTGAACACTAAAGTTTGTCCGGCACCTGGGCACGCCTCCCCCCTCCCCGCCCCATTACTGGCCCAGCAAGTTATCGGTGCTGTGAACGTGGCTGCCGTTCTTTGGTTTCTGAATGTTTCTACCTGTCCTCCATGAAATATCAATTCTTGTACAGGAAAAACAACAACCCTACTTGTTTTGAAGTAATTTTTATAACCACAGAAAATCTGCAAAAGTAACATGGAATTCTGAATAGATGCCCTTAATGCCAACATGTGCCATACCACCTTACAATCACTAAAAGCAAGGAACTGGTATCAGAACAGTGTTGTCAACTGAATATGTCTTCTGAGTCTATCATTTTTCAATGGTAATACTCCTTCTGTATTCCAGGATCCAGTTTAAGACCCTACACTGCATTTAGTTGACATGGCTCTGTCATCTTTTCTAATCTGCAGTGATCATTTCATGTCTCTTATGACATTTACTTTTTTTTTAAACGGGCTCAACCACTTAATTATGTAGCCTGTCCCTTAAATGGTGTTTGTTCCATGGTTTGTCATGATGTGATTAAGATTATATATTTGTGTGTGTACTGTTAAAGCTATCACAGAAATGTATGTGCCTTTTTTTTTGTTTATCCTGTTAGAGTGTATGCTATGACTTATTGCTTGGGATGTTAATCTTCATCACTTAGTTAAGGAAGTGTCTTTGGGAATTCTCTAATACAAAGGAACCATTTCCCTCATAATTTGTATCATAGGGAAACCTTTAGACTTTGCAAACATCCTGTATTTCCTGGAACTTTCCCTTGCTAAATTTAGCATCCACTGGATCTAGCCTTCAGTCATTTTTGCTCTGGTTTTCTAATGGTGATTTTTCCATTTTTCTCCTTTATTAATTGGAATTACTCTGTAAGACGGGACTGACCATTCTCTCCATTTATTTTTGTTTTTGTTTTTTGCCAGTCCTGGGGCTTGAACTTAGCCTGAGCACTGTCCCTGAGCTTTTTTGCTCAAGACTAGCACCCTACCACTTGAGCAACAGTGCCACTTCCGGCTTTTTCTGTTTATATAGTACTGAGGGCTTCATGCATGCTAGGCAAGCACTCTACCACTAAGCTACATTCACAGCCCTCTCCATTTATTTTTATTCAGTTATTTACTTCTCCAGTATAGACTCATAGTTATTGTTCTCTTTATTTGTTGTTGGCTTTACTGCTTAAATTTTGGGGATTTTGATCATTGGCAATAGCCCCCCACCTTTACTTTCTGTATCCCTTTGGATTAAATGCGTATATCCCTTTTAAAGAAGTTTTTTTTTTTAATCTGGCCCCACAAAAAGTTTTCTCCACTTAGTCATACAAACAATCACTTCTCCAAGAACCTCTGGTCTGGTCTTGTTTCTGTTTCTTTCTCTCTCTTCCCCTCCCCTCCTCTTCTCTTTTCTCCCCTTCCTTTCTCCTTTTCTTTCTTTCTTGTTTTACTTCTGGAGAATGGTCATTAGACACCAAGATTAGCATGGTAGGTGAGCTCATTGCTATTGGGGTGTCATTGCTTTTAGAGCCTTACAGAAGATAGCAGTGTATGTATAGATATATCCAAGCATATAGCATTGATATTTATTTCTGAATTTATGTATAGGTATATTTTAAAAAATAACAAAATGTCATTTCAGTAACTCTGAATCTATTCTAACACTACCAGGTTAATTCTAGTTTGTCCCTTATTGGTAACTTCTTTCTTTGACAGTGAAGTCTGGCTCTCTGTGAAGTATTTCTTTATTTACTCAGTCCCAGTTTATACATAAAGTAATTTCAAGATTCCTAATCTATAGCCTTGACAGAGGTTTTGGTTTGCTTTACAGTATTCAAATAGAATTTTGTTTTCTCAAGTTATGTAAGTTACTTCTCCACTTATTTCCCTATATAATACACTCTTATTTTTGATAGTTTATATTTCATTTGGGGTTTTTCCCTATTTTAAATTTTTTGTATACATTCACTTTTAGTGAATTTATATATGAATTTAGAAGCATCCACTTTGTGGTATACAGCTCTAAGGGTTTTGACAAGTGAATATAATTAGTTGTGTGTGTACCGCCACAGTCATGATGGCAGAATAATTCCATTACCCCAAATAGCTTATACTTTTCTGAATATTAAAAATATAGCCACTTCACAGGAGCTTTGGACATTTTTTGTATATTTTATATATTTTGTCTTTTTCTTAAACTTATTTAGGGGAGATCTTAATGTAAGTGTACTTTTTAAACCCTGTGTTTTAATTATAATCACAAATATATTCTAATTTTACTACTGAAAAATCAAGAAATGCTGGCATATACATTCATGCATTATTTAATCATACTTTCTTTTGTTGTTATTGTTGTGCCAGTACTGGAGTTTGAACTCGGGGTCTCATGCTCTCCCTCGGCCATTTTGTTCAAGGCTGGCACTCTACCACTTGAGACTATTTTTTTTCACCAATCAAATATGTAAGAAGAACGATAAAGCCAAGTAAACTGGTTGGAATATAGATTAATGAACAATGTGATAATTGCTGGTGGGAATGTAAATAGGCACAATCTTGTACCATTGGGAATGCATATACTAAAATAATATTTTTACCTAAGCCAGTAGTAACTCATACCTGTAATCATGCCTATAATCCTAGCTACCTAAGAGGCTAAGAATGGAGGATTGAGGTTTGAGGTCAGCCCAAGTATAAAAGTTTCTCAACCCACAGCTGGGTGCAGTGGCTTGTGCCTGTCATCCCAAGCTCCAGCAGAGTCTAAGATGGGGAGGAGCATAGGGCCAGGCCCACTCAGGCAGAAAAGTCCATAAGACTCCACAGAAGGGAAGCTGTATGTGGTGGCATACTCCTGTAATCCCAGTGGTGTTTGGAAGCCTAAAACTAGGCAGGTGAGAGTCAGGTAGAAAGTGAGATCATATCCTAAAAATAACCAGAGATACACAAGAAGGTGTGGTTCTACAGTATCATCCAAACCTATCAAGTGCAAGACCTTGAATTTAGAAACCCAGTACCACACAAACACATATTTATTTAATATTTATATTTCTAGGTATTTATTTTAAAGAAATAATCATAAGTGACAGCATGGATTTCTGTGTAAGAAGAGTACATACACTATAGTTTATACTAGTGGGAAATTGGAATAAACTGAAGTAGCTAACAATAGATGATTAAATTATGAAGCACATAATTTAATACTGTGCTGCTATAAAAAGCTGCATAGGAGAAAATTATTTACGTGGAAACATTTTTCTTATGCTTAATCATGTTATTCAAAAATCCTTTCTTTTTCTTCATTCATTTTATCCAGTAACAGTTGAAGTGTAAAGAAATAGAAATTAATTACTCTTGTTATTTCATTCCCTTGGATTTAATTTCTCTATTGTTAAAATATTCCCTTTAGAATGATTTATAACATTTTATCTGTTTGGTGGGGGGCAAGGGAAAATTCAACCTTTCAGTAAATATTTAATTGACCACTTATTGCCTACCAATTTGCATACTAGACTCTAGGGATTCCATAGTGTAACAAAATGAAATAAAGACTCCCTAGTTAAAAGATATATACATACTTATATACGCCTTTTTTAGTACTTCTTTTGATGAGTAGCTTGGTAATAAGCTTAGTCTTTGTATGTCAGAGATTTATTATTTTGCCTTTACTGTAACTGATAATTTTCCTGGGTTTGCTCCAACATCCTCTTCTTAGCACTTTGAAGACTTTCCTATCTTTTGATAGTCTAATCTTTGGTGTAAAATTCCTTGCTTTTGTTCTTTTCCTTAATCAGCATTGTACCTCTGGATTGCTTTTTATGATTTTTTTCTTTATCCTCAATGTTCTGCAATTTTCTTTCTTTTGGGTTTAGTTAAGTTTGTTTATTTGGAGTTTTTTACCTGGAGTTTATGTGCCTTTTCAGTGTGAGACTTTATATCATAATTCTCAGCATACTCTCTTTGACTAATTTTGTTATTTTCTTTTTCTTTCTTTCTTTCTTTCTTTCTTTCTTTCTTTCTTTCTTTCCTTTCTTTCCTTCCTTCCTTCCTTCCTTCCTTCCTTCCTTCCTTCCTTCCTTCCTTCCTTTCTTTCTTTCTTTCTTTCTTTCTTTCTTTCTTTCTTTCTTTCTTTCTTTCTTTCTTTCTTTCTTTCTTTTTTTTGTCGGTCCTCGGTCGTGAACTCTGGGCCTAGGCACTGTCCCTCAGCTCTTTAGCTGAAGGCTAGTGCTCTAGCACTTGAGCCACAGCACCACTTCTGGCTTTTTCTGCTTATGTGGTGCTGTGGAATCGAATTCAGGACCTCATTCATGCAAGGCAAGCACTCTTCCATTGAGCCACCTTCCCAGCTCCAATTTTGTTATCTTCATTTGTTTGTTTTTTTTCTCATTATTTTCTATGTTTATTGATCCTATTACTTTATAATGTTTTAAATATACTTTTTATCTTTTTATTCTTCAATGCCCTGACATCTTCCACTATGTACTTGCTTGTTTAGCTCATTGTTCAAAGTCATTCTAGAAGTTCACTTGGTTTATATTCATATTGGCCTGTTGTTTCGTAATATTACCTAAAATTCTTCAGTATCTTTGGATGTTTTAAAAATGTGCTTGCATTGCCTTTTTTTTTTTTTATTGTAAAGATACTATACAGAGGGTTACAGTTACATGAGTGAGGTAATGAGTACACTTCCTCTTGAACATTGTTACCCCCTCCATTGTTTTCCCCCTACCATCCCCTCCCTCCCTCCCTTCCCCGCATTGCCTTTTTAAAGATGACTTTTTTGTCCATTTCTAGCCCCTTAGTTATGAATTGTCCAGTTTTGGTGGATGATTTTTAAAAAAAAATATATAGCCAGTCCTGTTTTGTTTGGTGTTTCTTTTGACTATGGCCGTTTTAACAGCTGTGTTTTTAGTGTTTGGAAATTTTCTGTGTTACTTGTGAGCTTGTGTCTTTTATGACCAACACTTCAAAATTTTCAACTATGTAAAGAAAGGGAAAATACAGAACAAACATTATTTAAAGATGTAGTTCTTCATTTGCAGAGTGATAGTTCCCTTTGAGAAACTCTTAAAAACAATCCTAAAAATTCAGAAATTCATGAAATTGATTTAGAATATTGCTGTGAACCTTGGGCTAAGAAATCAAAACACAGTGGGATGAACATGGTCAACTTTATTGTTATTTTTAGTATGGGAGAGCTCGTGGCTAATGAGGTGATATGAAGGCATGGTGCGCAGCACTGTTCTTCAATTTTGGCAAAGTGATGGAGCCCAATATTCATAAAAAGCTGAAAAGCAAATGAACTCGAGGAAATGGAAACAGGAAACTTTTTTTCTTTCTGCTGTTCTTGTCCTCTTCTCTTTTGGTTCTGTTTGTTCATTTATATGTCTTTAGGAGGGTAAGGGGAGTCACAGAAATAGAGGGACATAGGGTAAACAAATGCAGCAGTGGTAGTCATTGGCCACTCTGTTGAAAATGAACTACACAACTTGTGGGTAGAGATCAGAGGGGAGACAGCAAGGGAAGGGATGTCGTCCAAAAGTAATGTACTCTTTACAAGACTTATATAACTGTAACCCCTATACATCACCTTTATAATAACAATTTTTTTTTAATCTGAAAAGCTCAGTTTGTACAAATAGATGTAACTTTTCTCCAATTAAAGCCAGTGTGTTGTCCTGGAGACTTGGTTGTTTTGGAGTGCTGGTAGGAAACTGGTGAAGTAGTAAGGGAAAGGGAAGTCAGAAAGGGAAGATAGTGTAAAGGACATCCATGAGAATAGTCTCATATTCTGTGACCATATATTTGAAGTTTAGAATTAAATAGTTGTTATGATGACGTTAGACGTAGCGTTTGATAAAAGCCGAAATCCTAAGAATGAAATTTTCCCTTCAATATTTGACATTTGACACCTTTAGAAAAAAGGTTGTTCAGTATTCAAGGTATTGGACTGTATACTCCTAAATTTTAAAAAATTGGATATTTACAGAGAGGGTGAAATTGACTGGAATACATAGAAAACATGTGGAAAGAGAGCAGTGAAATCTCCCTTTCTCCCATATAACTAATACAAGCTAATAACAATTATTTTATTTTTGTCAATGTTGGGGCTTGAACTCTGGGCCTGGGTGCTGTCTCTCAGCTTTTCAGCTCAAGGCTAGTGCTCTGTCACTTGAGCCACAGTGCCACTTCCAGTTTTCTGGTGGTCTATTGGAGATAAGAGTCTTACGGACATTCTTGCCGAGGTTGACTTTGAACCGCAATCCATAATCCTCAGTTCTTAGCCTCCTGAGTAGCTAGGATTACAGGCATGAGTCACTGGTGCCCAGCTAATAATGATAATTTTAAAAACATAATTACATACTGACATAGAAAAGTCTTGTGAGAGACATTCATCGAACTATTGAGTAGTTAACTAAGTCTGTGGACATCATTGTTGGTTTTTATTCTTTTCATTTGGTTATATTTTTCTAAATTTTCTATAGCAAGTAAATATAATTTTATTAAAAGAAAAAGATTTTAAAGCACATTTTCATAAAGAAAAATGTCATTAAGTTCAGCATTAAGTCAAATCTTTATTTAGAATAGATTGTAATAAGCCTAATTGTTGATTTAAAAATAGTGGGAGCCAGGTGCCTGTGACTCAGGCCTGTAATCCTAGCTACTCAGTCGAGATCTGAGGATTATGGTTCAAAGGCAGCCCATGCAGGAAAGTCCTTGAGACTCTTATCTCCAGTTAACCACCAGAAAACCAGAAGTGTTACTGTGGTTCAAGTGGTAGAGCACTAGCCTTGACCTAAAGAGCTCAGGGACAGTGCTAGGCCCAGAGTTCAAGCCCCACGACTGACTTTAAAAAAAAAAAGGTAACTGATTTAAGGCACTCTTAAGAAGGAAATATTTCTGTTTTAGGTTTTTCTGTGTGAGTGGAGAAGTGGTAGTGACAACATTTTTTAGGATGTCTGAAGATGAAGAAAAGGTGAAGTTACGCCGTCTTGAGCCAGCTATCCAGAAATTCACTAAGATAGTCATCCCAACAGACTTGGAGAGGTTAAGAAAGCACCAGATAAATATTGAGAAGGTGAGTCTTTTCATTTCTCCCTCAATAAGCAGTTCCATAATCTGATTGGTATTCATTTGAGCTAAATTGAGAATATCAGACAAAAAGGTTTTCTAAAAATATCCAGGTCCTGTTGATTTAGCATAAGTGATGCTGGAGCATTTAAAGATGGAGAAAGAGTCATCGGGTAACCAAGTCCTGAGGCTTGAACTCAGGGCCTGGGCACTGGCCCTGAGCTTCTTTTGCTCAAGATTAGCACTTGAGCCACAGTGCAACTTCCAGCTTTCTGTTTATGTGGTATTGAACAATGGAACTCAAGGCTTCATGCATGAGAGGCAAACACACTACCATTAAGCCACATTCCCCAAACTGGTTATTCTTGTTGAGTGCTTTGGCTAATGGGAGGCTGATTCTTATAGCCCTATAGCAATATAGAAAGAAAATTCTTTAATTTTGATTGATCTTATCTAGATGAGAGATGTATTTCAAAATTCTGATCCTTACATTAAAGTGGCTATGGTCTGCTAGAGCCATTTCTTCCCTTTATTGTTCTACTTTTAAGACTTGGCATGTCATAGATTTCCCTTTTCTTATATTTAGTCTATGCACAAATGCTTGCTGTTTTTACCTTTAAATCCTGTATGATCCAATCAGTCATCAATGGAAAAGCCAGATTCTGGGAGAAAGGTCATCAGGGATAGGCATAGGTTTATTGTTGATTTGATTATTTGTAACAGACATCATAAGAAAATTATCCCAGTTAGTCCATTGATCCCATTATGCCTGAACATTTTTCTTTTGGCATTTTGTCAGATTTTTACTTATTATAAAATTTTTAGACCTTATCAGAATTACTTTATTTTGCAATGTAGGTGATATTGTCTTAAGTCAAGCAGTTAAACTCATCCTTACCTGTACTTTAGATCATGTCCTTGATCATTTCACGTTCTGCCTATAGCATTTCTAGTTTAATTATGAAAGTAACATTTTCCCTACATAGGATTATGTGGCCTATTTTGATATCTATATGGTGACAGTGTAAACATATTTAAAACTGCAAGTACTCACTCTAGACCAAAGAGTTAAGAGCTATCTTTGGACTCCAGGTGTTTTAACAGGGCCCCACTTTCAAACAGATATGTTCTTCTTGGGGGAAAGGTGTAGAAAGATAAAATATTTATTATGTTGGCCATCAGTCATCCAATATGAATTTAAAAGAAGAAAGTCAGACTGGAGGGAAATTGAAGGTGAGCCTTAGCAGAGTAGTTCTGCAGCATCTGAAGACAATGGGAGTAGTGTGCTGTGGACACCTGGGGCTGTGTTCCATAGGTCCTTCAGCATGGCCTTTTATTACACTTGAGAAATGTGGTTAGCAGGTAATCCTGACATTTGAAGGGCTAGCACTCAGTTTTCTTGGCTAAAGTAAGAGAGGCTTAATCATAGTTCATGAGATAGTAAGCTTGTAACATAAATTTCTTTTCTTTTCTTTTCTTTTTTTTTTTTCTTTGCCAGTCTGGGGCTTGAACTCAGGGCCTGGGCACTGTCCCTGAGCTTCTTTTGCTCAAGGTTAGCACTTGACCACTTGAGCCACAGTGTTACTTCCGGCTTTTTCTGTTTATGTGGTACTGAGCAATGGAACCCAGGGCTTCATGCATGCTAGGCAAGCACTCTACCACTAAGCCATATTCCCAGTCCTAAAACATAATTTTCTGTGTTTCATATTGTAGGACTTTGGGGAAACACTTACTAAGAGATAGTTATAGATGATTAAAGTATAAGTGGCAGAAACCCACAAATGGTATCTTAAATAATGTAGAGTTTTGCTTCTCTTTTATTGCTCATGATGATAGAATTGGTCCAGGGTTGCAGTGGAAGCTCCACAGTCACTAAATACCCAGGCTCTTTCTATCTTGCTGTCACCTCATGAACTTATTATTTCTGCCTTATGTGTAAAAGGTCTACTCTCGTACCAGCTATCACATTTACATTTTACCTTAGAATAACTAGAATCTTACTTTTTCTGTGGTTTTTTTCTCTCAATTCACTTATACATGTGAGCATACACACATTTCTCTTTTTAAAAAAGTATCCTCATCTCTCTATGGTTGCATAATTTTTATTATTATTACTACTATTACTATTATTATTATCTTGTACTACACATCTGCAAAAATGATGGTGATGAATTCTGTCACCTTTTTTTTCTTTTGCTAGCCCTGGTACTTGAACTCTTGTCCTAGGCACTGTCCTTAAATTTCTTTTGCTCAAGGCTAGTACTCTACCACTTGAGCTACAGCTCTACTTCCGGGATTTTGTTTTTTTCTTTGAGTAGTTTATTGGAGATAAGAGTCTCACAGAGTTTCCTATACAGGATGGCTTTGAACCACGATGATCCTCAGATCTCAGTCTCCTGAGTAGCCGGGATTATAGGCATGAGCTTCCAGCGCTTGACTCTGTCAGCTTTTTTATATTTCAGAAATCTCTTTGTTTTGCCTTCATTTATTTGGGTATAGAATTCTAGTTTGAATATCTGTTGCCTTCTAGTATTTTTTATGACTGTTCTATTGTCTTCTATCTTGCATTGTTTCTCACAAGAAGTGTTCCTCTCATTTCTATTTTTGGTCCTCTGTACTTCAGGTATCTTTTTTCTTCCCTTTAGCTACTTTTAAGGTTTTCTACTATTTGTTCAAATTCAGATTTTAGCTTTTACTATTTATCACTGTCACTGACATATATTTTGAATTCCTCATGTATAATATAAAGATATATAAAGGATGCTGTTAATCTTTTCATTTTTTGCTTCTTGTTATATTCCTGTTCTTTATATTTTTTCTACCTTCAGAGAGTTTGTAGTATAGACAAAATGCATATTCTTTTTTAGTAAACTAAACTTGCTTATTATCTCTAGAATTTTGTATGTAATATTCCTAAAAACATTTCTTATTTATATGAACTTTGGAAATGAACTGCCACCACTAAATCACTATTTTCTTCTTTCTGGTAGTGCTCAGGGTTGAACTCAGGGCCTCATGCCCCTTTTTACATCGGTTATTTTCAAGTAGGGTCTGACTTTTTATGCTTAGGTTGTGATCCTCCTACTGTGCTTGCATTATCACTGGGGATGACAGGCAGATATACTGCACCAAACTGTTGTGCTTCTCCCCTTGAGTGAGATGATCTTGTGAACTTTTGTGCCAAGGCTGGCCTTAAACCATGATTTCCATCTCCCATCAAAAATACCCAAATAGTTAGTATTACAGACTTGAGCCACCAAGCTAACTTAAATCATTATTTTATTTTATTTAACTGATAACTTTACATAGTTGAGTAAGGATTTTGTGTATGCGTGTGTGCGTGCATGCGTGGGTGCATGTGTGTGTGTGTGCGCGTGCGTGCGTATGTGCTGGTCCAGGGGCTTGAGCTAGGTCTGGGCATTGTCCCTGAGCTTTTTTCACACAAGAATAGTGTTCTGCCACTTGAGTCACTACCACTTCCACGTTTTTTGGTCACATAAACTTTCCAGCCCAGGCTATCTGGACTTGCTTCAAACCATGATCCTCAGATCTCAGCTGCCTGAGTAGCTAGGATTACAGGTGTGAACCACCAGCACTCAGCAAGTAGTTTTGTATGTGTGTATGTGTGTGTGTTTGTGTGTGTGTGTGTGTGTGTGTGTGTGTGTGTGTGTGTGTGTGTGGTAATTGGACATTATTTCCTGCTCATGAAAATTTTAAGACTTCTTTCTTTCTCTTTTTTATAGTATCAACGATGCAGGGTTTGGGACAAGTTGCATGAAGAGCATATCAATGCAGGACGTACAGTTCAGGTAAGGCTACTGTATTGTTTCTGGTAAGTCAATAAAAACATAATTTTTTTAATGTTGCTAAAATAAGACAAGTTGAGTATCTTTTACTCCAAATGCTTGTGGTGAAAAGTGTTTCAGATGAGATCCAGGTTTAAATGAAATTAAATGATGCTTCATGCAGACCTTTCGCATATAACCTGAAAGTAATTTTTTTTCTTCTTCTTTTTTTTTTGTCGGTCATGGGGCCTGAACTCTGGGCCTGGGCGCTGTCCCTCAGCTCTTTAGCTGAAGGCTAGCTCTCTACCACTTGAGCCATAGCGCCACTTCTGGCTTTTTCTACTTATGTGGCACTGAGGATTCAAACCCAGGGCCTCATGCATGCAAGGCAAGCACTCTACACTAAGCCACCTTCTCAGCCCCTGAAAGTAACTTTTGATATTTTTAGTGGATCTGTTTTTTTGTTTTTGTTTTTTGTTTTTTTCCAGTCCTAGGGCTTGAATTCTGGGCCTAAGAGCTGTCCCTGAGTTCCTTTTGCTCAAGGTTAGAACCCTACCACTTGTGCCACAATGCGACTTCCAGCTTTTTCTGATATTAGTTGGAAATGAGAGTTTTATAGACTTTCCTGTCCTGGCTTGTTTCAAACTGTAATCCTCAGATCTCAGCCTCCTGAATAGTTCAGATAACAGGCATGAGCCACTGGCGCCCAACTTGGATCTATATTTTAACTACAACCTACTACATGAGCTTAGGTGGTATCAAGTCTTCTTACATGTGCTATGGGGCAATAATATTAGTTAATTGCTATTTATTCCTCATCCCCACAAGTATATTGATGGCTTTTTCCAGGTTATGGAGGATTTTGGATTTGGAATTTTTGAATTAAGGATGTACAGGCCTTTGTAGCTGAACCTTTTTTATGCATATTTGTTATTGTTTGTTTTGTTTTGTCAGTAGTGGGACTTGAACTGTGGGCCTGGGCATTGTTCCTGAGCTCTTCAGCTCAAGGTGAGCCCTCTACCACTTGAGCCACAGTGCCACTTCCAGTTTTCTGGTGATTAATTGGAGATAAGAGTCTCATGATCTGGGCATTGGTGGCTCATGCCTGTAATTTTAGCTACTTGGGGCTAAGATCTGAGGATCGCAATTTAAAGTCAGCCAGGGCAGGAAAGGGGGTGAAATTCTCATCTTCAATAAACCACCAGAAAACCAGAAGTGGCTCTGTGGCTCAAGTGATAGAGCACTAGCCTTGAGCTGAAGAGCTGAGGGATGGCACTCAGGCCCAGAGTTCAAGCCCCGTCACCGACAAAAAAAAAAAAAAAAAAAAAAAGAGCCTCATGGACTTTCCTGCCCTGACTGGCTTTGAACTATGATCCTCAGATCTCAGCCTCCTGAGTAACTAGGATTACAGGCATAAGCCACCTATCCTTGGCTGTGACTGTGTTTTCAATGGTATATTTTAGTAGTAATTACTGACACATGTCATGAGTGTTTGTGTATTGTGTATGTGTTGTGTGTGTGTATGTGTGTGTGTGTGTTGTATTAATATCAGTGCTTGAATTCAGGACTAACACTCACTTGGCATTTTCACTCTTAGTTGGTATACCACTTGAGCCACACACCCACTTCTTTTTTTTCTGTATATATATTTTACTATAAAAATACTATGCAGAGGGCTGGGAATGTGGCTCAGTGGTAGAGCGCTTGCCTTGCATGCATGAGGCCCCGGGTTCAATTCCTCAGCACCACATAAGCAAAAAAAAGAAAAAAAAATACTATGCAGAGAGGTTAGTTACATGAGTAAGGTAATGAGTATGTTTCCTATTAAGCATTGTTACCTCCTTTGTTTTTCCCCATCCCTTCCCTCTCTACCTCCCCAACTACTTCCTTCCCTTCCCCACCCAAAGTTGTAAAGTTCGTTTTCAACATAGTGTCTTGTACATCCGGGTCTACCTGTATCCTTGTTTCAGCATTTTGTTATTTCCTTTCCCTTCCCCAAATTAGAAAAATGTACATACAGGGCTGGGAAGGTGGCTCAGTGGTAGAGTGCTTGCCTTGCATGCATGAGGCCCTGGGTTCGATTCCTTAGCACCACATAAGCAAAAAGAAAAAAGCCAGAAGTGGCACTGTGGCTCAAGTGGTAGAGCGCTAGCCTTGAGCTGAAGAGCTGAGGGACAGCGCCCAGGCCCAGAGTTCAGGCTCCATGACTGGACCAAAAAAAAAGAAAAATGTACATACAAGATGCAGGGCACCAGAATCAAATACAGTGAAAACAGGGGTTATACCATGAGGGAAGAACATACAAAAGAAACAAAAAAAAAAAATCACATGGTACATTATAAATACATTAAAAACAACAGCAAGAAAGATAAACCACTTGTGTCCATATCTTGGGGTTCATTTTGCTTAGCATCATCTTACATGGTTATATGTACATAGCTTTTGAGCTTTTCTGCTTGTCCTAGACACATTCTAGTTGTTACAAATAATGGAAACCATGGGACCTATGTTTCTTTGAGTCTGGCTTACTTAATATAATTTTTTCCAAGTCTTTCCATTTCCTAACAATGGGACAGACACACCCACTTCCTGGTGGGCTTTTTTTTTTTTTTTGGTTGACTAGTTGGACAGGCTGGCTTCAAACTGGGAGTCTCAGATATCAGTATTCTAAATAGCTGGGCTGATAAGCACCTGTAAATGCATATTTAAGAAGTATTGTTTCATGTTACCAAATTACCTCACAAATGATACCTTAACTTACACTATCATAAAAAGTGTTTTCCAAAGCTCTTACAGTATTGACATTACCCATTTTTTCAAATTTTTGTATTAAGATCATTTTACTTTTAACTTTTTTGCTTTGAAAAGTGAAAGTATTTTTACATTTGCTGTGAGCAATATTATTTCTTAATTGCTGTTTATGTTCCTCATTTGTGTTGATATCTTTTGTAAGAGCTCTTTTTAATTTGAAAGATACACGTCTTGGACTTTTGGTATGTGTTAGAAGTACTCTACTACTTATCTACCTTTTTCTTTTTTCTTTTTTTTTTATTGTGAAAATACTGTACAGCGGGGTTACAGTTACATGGGCAAGATAATGAGTACATTTCTTATCAAGCATTGTAACCTCCTCGTTTGTTTCCCTTTCCCATCCCTTCCTATCCTCCCCCCGTCCCCCCACCTTCCCCTCCCCCCTCATATCTACCTTTTAAAAAGTTAAATTTTAGGGCTGGGAAGGTGGCTCAGTGGTAGAGCGCTTGTCTTGCATGCATGAGGCCATGGGTTCGATTCCTCAGTACCACATAAGCAAAAAAGCGCTGTGGCTCAAGTGGTAGAGCGCTAGCTTTGAGCTGAAGAGCTGAGGGGCAGCGTCCAGGCCCAGAGTTCAGGCCCCATGACCGTACCAAAAAAAAAAAGTTACATTTTATTCTTTTAAATAATATGTTCACATAGTTTACAAAGCCAAATACCATTTGAGGTCTTATTGCACCCTACTGTTTTCCCTGTTCAAATCCTGACAGGAACCATTCGGTCATAGTCCCCAGCATTTATTTATTACTAAGTAGTCGTATAGACTGCTATTTCCTGAATAATTGTGTTTAGATATTATCTCTTCGCTTCTTGCCATGGCAGATGGAGCTCTAACTTTCTACTTTGCTCTCCTTTCCCCTAGAGAGAGAGAGAGAGAGAGAGAGAGAGTGTATGCGCATGTATAAATCTTTGTTTAAATTAGTACTCAATATCTCATTATTTTGATTATGAAAATATTGTTTTATTCTAAGTCAAATAGTGAAACACAGTACAGCCCTTTATTGTTTTCTTTTTTTTTTTTTTTTTGTCGGTCATAGGGCTTGAACTCTGGGCCTGGGCGCTGTCCCTCAGCTCTTCAGCTCAAGGTGAGCGCTCTACCACTTGAGCTACAACGCCACTTCTGGTTTTCTGGTGGTTTATTGGAGATAGGAGTCTCACGGTCTTTCCTGCCAGGGCTGGCTTTGAACCACGATTCTCAGATCTCAGTCTCCTGAGTAGCTAGGATTACAGGCGTGAGCCACCGGCGCCCGGCCCCTTTATTGTTTTCTATGTGAATAATTACTTCATTTTTAAATTGACTGAATTTCTGAGTTTGTGATTAACCTTGTTAAATGTGAGGTATCTCCATTGCATGTGGTCAGTAATATTTTGCATTTGTTCAGATATATCAGCTCCGTTTCATATTTTGAAAATTCCTTCCCAAATCCCTTCTTCACTCAGTTCTAGTGTGCACTCACTCCTTAGGTTGACTGCACAGCTACTAGGACTTCTCTGTGTGTTCCTCTGTGTTCCTGGGTATCATGTCTCCCTCCTTTTTTATTTGTTCATTATTTGGTTGGAATAGTACTTCAGGACTTAGGAGACGAACATTTTAGTAACTATGTGCCTAAAAATGCCTTTATTCTCCCCTCCCACCCAATTGATAAATCTACTAATATAGAATTCTATTTGGAATTCGCTTTCAGTAGGAAAGGCTGTCCAGCTTTTTGTGTTTTAAAAAGCTGGAATCATCTGATTTCCAGTCTTTTCATAGGAAGCCTTTTCTCTCCCTCCCTTTGGGAACTTTCATGATCTGTTTACCTTTGGTATTCTGAAATTTGATAATGATATGCATTGTGTTAAACCCTTCAATCTAAATAGATTTTTTTTGTTCATTAGTTGTGGGAAATTTCCTAAGGTTTTTTTTTTTTGGTTGGTTGTGGGCCTTGAACTCTGGGGTTGGGCACGGTCCCTCAGCTCTTCAGCTCAAGGCCAGCACTCTAACACTTGAGCTACAGCACCACTTCCAGTTTTCTAGTGGTTTATTGGAGACAAGAGTTTCACGGACTTACCTGCCCGGGCTGGCTTTGAACCACAATCCTCAGATCTCAGCCTCCTGAGTAGCTAGGATTACAGGCGTGAGCCACCAGCACCTGGCTTCTTAAGGTTTTTGTTTGTTTGTTTTTAAATAGTTTATTCTATTGTATTTTCTCTCTTTGCTGTTTCAATTTTTA